ACATTGATAAATGAATGAATCTTGTTTTGCAAACTGAATTGTATTGTTTCCGCTGTGTTTAAATTACTCATAAAAGTTTTCAATGAATGACAATTTCACTTTTACGTGAAATGCAAATAAAGGTCTTGGATTCAAAATCAATCTTAGGATGAAAATTGAAATTATGAGTTTCAATTTTATTTATGGCACATAATATTTTATTATGTGAATAATGTACATATTTATTAAAATTAAAAAAAATGCTATGAATGGTTAATAGCAATTAAAGATATTATTTATTTGAAATTAAGCATGTTAAATTTTGTTAGTCACCAAAGTGGCCAAAATTTTAAGGTTATTTTGATTTCAAATTATTAATGATTTTATTTCAATTACCCATAGTATGAATGCTAAAATTATGAATAATGATTTATGGGTTAATTGAAGTTCTTTATTATAAGGCATTTCAGGATCACCCAAAGGTTGATTAGTTGTTATTATAATTAATGAACATGAAAGTAGATAATTTTGTGTGCGTCACTAGTTTTATTTATATACCCAAAGGTGTTAGGTGATTCTAGTTGATGCATATTTTAATTATCATTAATGTTATAAAAAGATTAGCGTAATTATGTTTGTGTATTAGTGGATCTCCCAAAGGAGAACATTAGTATGCATAGAATGGTTATTTATGTTTGAATCTGTATTTATGTTTAGTTTTTATGACTCAAAGCGTTAATGTTAGGCATGTGTTAATTGAAGTATTTGTTTATTATGTATTTCTACATTCGCTTACTTCGATCTGTTCCAGTCTTTAATAAATTAAATTCCCTGATCTGGAGTAAGAAAGTCCAATTTCACTTAGGTGAGTTGGATTTTGATTTGGCTTTCTAAGTTGAAAAACCGGTTGCTATCACTAATGCTAGTAGCAACAAAGAGAAAACTCATTATAGAGTTTGGAAAAGTTCAAATAGACTTAGTCTTATGTTTATGCGAATGAGTATTGCAAGCAATATTAAGTATGCTTTTTCCAAAACTAAGGACGTGAAAATATTTATGAAATTTGTGAAAGAGCGTTCTCAAACTGCTGACAAATCCCTCGCTGGGACATTGATGATTACGTTGACCACCATGAAGTTTGATGGTTCTCGTAGTATGCATGAACACGTAATCGAAATGACAAATATCGCAGCAAGACTCAAGTCTCTTGGAATGGCAGTGGAAGAAAATTTTCTTATACAATTCATTTTGAACTCGTTACCGCCTGAGTATGGTCCGTTTCAGATGAATTATAACACCATGAAAGACAAATGGAATGTGCATGAATTGCACAGTATGTTAGTTCAGGAAGAGACCAGACTCAAGAACCTAGGAAGCCACTCTATTCATTACGTGAAAAATCAAGGAGCTAAAAAGAAAGTTGTTAAGAAACATAGAAAGGGTAAAAGACCATTAAAGATTAACGAGTCATCTACTAACATTCAAAAGAAAAATGACAAATGTCATTTCTGCGGGAAGTCTGGACATTTTCAGAAGGACTGTTTAAAGCGCAAAGCTTGGTTCGAAAAGAAAGGTGAGCACAGTGCTTATGTATGTTTTGAATCAAATTTAACTGAAGTTCCCCATAATACTTGGTGGATTAATTTTGGATGTACGACTCATGTTTCTAATGTAATGCAAGGATTCCTTTCAACCCGAACCATAAACCCAAATGAGAAGTTTGTCTTCATGGGGAATAAAGTCAAGGTTCCAGTGGAAGCTGTCGGGACTTATCGTTTAATCCTTGACACTGGATATCACTTAGACCTTATGAATACTTTTTATGTACCTAGTATCATTAGAAATTTAGTTTCTTTGTCTAAGCTTGATGTTGTTGGATACTCTTTTAAGTTTGGGAATGGTTGTTTCAGTTTGTTTAAGCGTACTTCTATGATTTGATATGGTTAGGAGTATGTTAAGTAATTCATGTTTACCTGTATCGTTGTGGATGTATGCTTTAAAGACGATCATGTATTTGTTGAACAAGGTTCCTAGTAAAGTTGTTCAAAAGATTTTTGAGTTATGGAAAAGTAGGAAACCTAGTTTGAGACACCTGCTTGTTTGGGGTAGTCAGACAGAAGTAAGAATTTATAATCCACAAGAAAAGAAACTGGATGCAAGAACAATCAATGGATATTTCATTGGTTATCCAGAAAAATCAAAAGGGTATATGTTTTACTGTCCTACCCATAGTACAAGAATTATTGAAACTGGAAATGCTCGGTTCATTGAAAATGGTGAAACTAGTGGGAGTGGAAGCTTCACGAAATGTGGAGATTAAGGAAGTTAGAGTACAAGTTCCCATAAAAGGTACATCTACTTCAAGAGTTGTTGTTCCACATGTTGTAGAACCACACAACAATCAAGAAGAACAATAAATTAATGATCCCGAAATTAACAATGAACCGATAATAGAACAACCACAAGAAATAATATTAAAAGGATCTCATAGAGAAAGAAAGTCTGCTATTTCGAATGATTACGTGGTTTATCTACAAGAGTCGAGAAAATGACTTAAGTATTGATAATGACCCAGTTTCATTTTCGAGATGCCATTAATGGTGATAATTCGATAAATGGTTAGATGTTATGAAAGATGAGCTTAAATCAATGACACATAATGGTGTATGGGATCTTGTGGAATTGCCAGAAGGATGCAAGAGTCTTGGGTGTAAATGGGTCTTTAAGACTAAGCGTGACTCTCATGACAATATCGAACGTTACAAGGCCCGACTTGTTGCCAAAGGTTTTACTCAGAAAGACAGCATTGATTATAAGGAAACATTTTCACCTGTTTCTAAGAAAGATTCCTTTAGAATTATCATGGCATTGGTAGCTCATTATGATCTTGAGTTGCATCAAATGGATGTTAAAACTGCTTTTCGAATGGAGATTTAGAGGAGGATGTTTATATGAATCAACCAAGTGGGGTTTATTGAAGAAGGAAAGGAACATATGGTGTGTAAACTTAAGAAATCAATATATGGACTTAAACAAGCTTCTCGACAATGGTATCTTAAGTTCAATGATACTATTTTGTCCTTTGGATTTAAGGAAAACACTCGTTGATCGGTGTATATATCTGAAGGTCAGTGGGAGCAAGTTTATATTTCTGATTCTGTATGTTGATGATATCTTGCTTGCGACTAATGATCTTGGTCTATTAAGTGAGACTAAGAAGTTTCTCTCTAACAACTTTGAAATGAAAGATATGGGTGAGACATACTATGTGATAGGAATAGAAATATTCCGTGATAGATCACAAGGACTGTTAGGTTTGTCTCGAGAAAGCATATATTAATAAAGTTTTAGAGAGATTCAGTAATGGAGAATTGTTCCGCATCTCCCGTTCCAATACAGAAAGGAGACAAAATTAGTCTCATGCAATGTCCAAAGAATGACTTGGAACGGAAACAAATGGAAAATATCCCTTATGCATTTGTTGTTGGCAGTTTGATGTATGCTCAAACATGTACGAGGCCAGATATTAGCTTTGCAGTTGGTATGCTTGGTAGATACCAGAGTAATCCTGGACTGGATCATTGGAAGGCTGCAAAGAAAGTTTTAAGATACTTACAAGGAACAAAGAATCACATGCTTACTTATAGGAAAGTTGATCACCTTGAGGTGATTGGATATATAGATTCAGATTTTGCTGGTTGTATGGATACACGAAAGTCTACATTTGGTTATGTGTATCTTTTAGCCGGAGGAGCGATTTCATGGAAAAGTGCGAAGCAGTCTGTCATTGCTGCATCCACCATGGAAGCTGAATTTGTGGCATGCTTTGAGGCCACAGTTCAAGCTAATTGGTTGCGGAATTTTATTTCAGGACTTGGAGTAGTCGACAGCATTGCCAAGCCGCTGAAAATTTATTGTGACAATTCCGCAGCAGTCTTCTTTTCTAAGAACGACAAGTATTCCAAAGGTGCTAAGCATATGGAATTGAAATACTTTGCCGTTAAAGAAGAAGTTCAGAAACAAAGAGTGTCAATAGAACATATTAGCACTGATCTTATGATTGTTGATCCTTTAACAAAGGGATTACCGCCCAAGTTGTTTGCTGGCCATATAGTAAATATGGGCATTATGTTTACTAGTAGTGAAAGTTGAATGTTAATGTTATTATTAATGTTATGTGACACTCTGAGATCTTTAACGTATAAGTTTCTGAAATTTGTGTTTTCTTCTTTATTTATATGCATGCAAATTATGATGAAGAAAACAAATTATGTTATTATTTTAAAATGATATTATGTTTGAACCCATTATGAACTTCTCATTATAAAGTCATATTAAGGGAGCCTGTCGATTGAATGACATGTAACCGCCATGACTCTTGTTATAGCTGTATCTTTAATTATGAATAAGGATAGAACCAATTTATGTAAGATCTTTTAATGCGCATTATGACTTAAGTATTAAATCACAGAATCGTATGACATCACATGAGTCAAGTGGGAGAATGTTAGAATTAATTTAATTAATTCATTCCATTATGTGACTCATGTGAAATATAATAATGGGCCCAAATGTGATTTAATAAAATATGAGGACCTATTGATTATTATGTGAAGTTAGAATAAAATAAAGATAAAATAAAATATTACATTACAGTAACCAAGTTGATGGACGTTGGTTAATAGAATGAAATAAGGGTTCTGTCTCTGGTCATAAAGTTTTTTTCACGGAAAACTATCAAGAAAGCGTGAGAAGAGAAAGAAAGACAAAGAGATAGATTGGAAAAAAGAGATTGAAGAACGAGAAGATTAAAGAATATATTTTCATGGATCAAGGTTAGTTCTCTTATTATGATTCATATATGTTATGTTGTGAAAATTAATAATCTAAAGATCCTGTAGAGTAGTTTTTCGTAATAAATTAAGAACGTAGGAAAATTACCTAATGTTTTACAGTGAATGCTGCTTATAACAGTTTCTAGCCAATTCAGATCCAGAATTGGAATGATTTGACTACTATAAATGCATGGTTGGTCTGGCAGATCTTCGGGGGATGATAAATATTTTTTTATGGATCACCCTGGTGCAGTTTCAATTACTACAGCACAGGTGAGATATATCATAAACTTTCGTAACCTCCATCCCTTCCTTTTGATAGAGGGGGAGGTCTGGGTTTTTGATTTACAGATTATATTGATCCACACATGGATAGTTGTTTTAACTTTGGTTGAAGGGAGAACATTTGAGAAAGCTGATTAGTGCTGCAGCCTACATCGAGTGTAGTTCAAAAACACAACAGGTGTACTTTCTATCTTTCGCTAAAAATTTATGCAGCGAATTTTTCTGTCCTTATATCACAGATTGTCATGTACTCTTGGGATGACATAACAGAATGTGAAAGCTGTTTTTGAAGCTGCCATCAAAGTGGTTCCCCAACCACCAAAGCAAATGAAAAAGAAGAGGAAGGCATGGAAGGATTGCTCCATATTATGATCGAGAATCAGAAATAATAAAATATGATGGTTGAACTAGAAGCATCACCAAAGAAAAGTCAATTATATCGTGCCAATGAACTTATTAGCATTAGCTATAATGAAACGCGAATCTGCAGGTGAAATGATGTAATAATCCCGCATTGTTTGCTATGTAACCATTGTTATTACAGGAAAGAAAGTAATAAGCGTTTGTTATATATATATATATATATATATATATATATATATATATATATATATATATATATATAGAGAAATTCATTTTAAAAAAATAAGAGTGAGAATGATATATTAATGTTTTATCTCAGTTTATTTTTGAAAATATAAGACCGAAGATGAGTCACTATTTATATGTTATTATATTATTGAATTGAAGTTTATCTTATTATATTAAACATATAAATATAATTTTTTTATATTGATATTTAATTATAAATTATCTTTAACATATTGATTATTGTAAAATTAATAAGAAATTCACTATTTACTTACTAAGTTATAAATTTAATTATGATTTTATAATTTCAATAAATTATATGTTAAAAGGAGTGTTGTTAATAATAATGATATATAAAATTGGATGAGAAAGTGTATATTCGGAAAAAGAAACTTAATTTATAGTATAAAAAATTATTACTGTTGATGTTGTTGTTGATGTTGTTGTTGAAAAGAAGAAGCAAAACCCTAAACCCTGAAGTTATATGATACCGTGGTTGCGAAAGAGTTTGACTGCGTGGGACGGTGATTTGGGTAGAAGATGAGAGGGCTGAACAGAGCAATGCTTCTAAGCAGAGCCCTAAGAAGCAATTCCACCGCCGTGTCAGGTGCAATTGCCACCCTTCACGGAGTGGTTCCCCATGGCACGAACACCCTAAGGAGCAGCGATCCTTCGGTATCTAGCAGTGTTACTGGGTTTCGATACGTTTCTGCTTCTGCTTCTGCCACGTCTATGGCCCATGACACCCAGACAAAGGCCTTCAAGCCCAAAGAACTTGTCCTCTTTCAGTACCAGGCCTGTCCATTCTGCAACAAGGTTGCAGGTGAATTCCCCTTTTAACTCTCTTAATTTGTTGCACTTTTTTTTCATTAAGTGCTTGAAATTTCAAGATTGAATTTACTATTTTCTTGCGCTGATTTTGCAGCGTTTCTGGACTATTACGATATTCCGTTCAAAGTGGTTGAGGTGAATCCTATCAACAAGAAGGAGATCAAATGGTCCGACTACAAGAAGGTGCCCATCGTCACTGTTGACGGTGAACAAATTGTTGATTCTTCAGGTTCTTAACTCTCTTATTTATATTTCGCATGTGCTGTGCATCTTAGTAAAGCCAATAAAACCAAAAGTAGTTGAGACAAGTGATTCGACATGAGTTTCTTAACGAAGAATTGAGGTCCAATCTTCCTTATTACATAAAGTCGCAATTGTGTGCTTTACTTTACTCTAAAATGGGTCAATCTGGTGCGAGGGCGATTAATTAAGTGTAAACGAAAAAAAGAGAGGTTTCAGATACATCAAGTTACAACAACTAAAATTCTTAGCAAACATGGTTGTTACTAAATTCACCTTCATTTTTTGGCAGACATAATTGATAAGTTGATCAAACGGATACATCCAGATTATGACCTAAATGCAGAAGAAGAGAAGAAGTGGCGAGAGTATGATTGTTATTATCCTTTCTGATAAGTGATTGCATAGTTATCTCGTTTCATTGGTAATACATGGTTATACCTCTGATGCCCCATTATAAGGAGTATTGTTTATCGCAGGTTGTCTTTTTTTGTAATATTGGATGCAAGATTAAGTACGTGTAGCTATAACGAACTGCTCCCATATATATGAACATTCTGCTCTGACATGTTATATAGGTGGGTGGATAATCACTTGGTGCATGTCTTGTCACCAAATATATATCGAAATGTTCCTGAAGCTCTTGAATCATTTGATTATATCACTACCCAAGGTAAGGTTTTGACTAAAAGTTTGTCTATTGTAAACTATTATTTTATTATTGTATTTATTCCAAAACACAAAAAGATCATTTGACATATTAGCAAACATCATGATGTGTCGTTTATCATAGGTTACATCTAACATATGAAATGTGTTTCTGGCTGACCTTTGAAGCATATTTCATTTTCTCCAAAAAATGGTCGACAGATATTGAACATTTTTAATTTTATCTTAATTTTTTATATTGCTTGAAATCAGTGTTTTCCTGCTTCATTTTCTGCATATGGAGAATAATCATTATTGGATCCTGATAATTCTTTGTTTCTTTTTCAGTTACTTGATGCTTAGTTGATTATTCTGTAGTGATCATAAATATGTACAATGGGATGGACACTAATCTGTACCTATTAATGCATGACAGTAAACAGACCTCTTGATCCATCAAACTATTTTACTTCTTCAAATTTAAGTAGTCCTTATTAAATTGTACCCCTATGGCTGTAATAATTACACATACTAAGGCATACCAACGAAGGGAGAGGGGAACCTTTGATTCAATTGTTCAAATCTACATTAGTTATGTGAATTTTGTAAGCCAATGCTTATCAAACCTTACAAGCATGATTATTTTAATTATTCCTCCTCACTGTTTGCTACTTTCCTTCTTCCTCTCTCCTTTTTAACCTTCATTTCTTTTTATCCTGAAGTGTAACATGTTATGCTGTGTAACCAATTTTATGTTTCCCTTTACATGCAGGAAATTTCAGTTTGACTGAGAGGTTAGTGGCAAAGTATGGTGGGGCTGCAGCTATGTATTTTGTGTCAAAGAAATTGAAGAAGAAACACAACATCACTGATGAGCGTGCAGCACTTTATGGTGCTGCGGAGCAATGGGTTGATGCTTTGAGGGGCCGGAAATTTCTTGGTATGTTTAACTAATGATTCGCATATGATAAAAAAAAGGTTGGGTAATATTTTACCACCAACTCCCAAGTGCTTATATTCTTGATTTTTGCAGGTGGGTTGGATCCTAATTTAGCAGATCTTGCTGTGTTTGGTGTCCTAAGACCCATCCGCCATCTCAAGTCAGGTAGAGATATGGTAGAGCACACCGGGATTGGGAAATGGTTTTCTGAAATGGATCGTGCCGTAGGAAAGTCTTCTAGGGTTAGTGAACAAAGCTAGAAAAACTACAGTGAGTTTCAATCTCTCTGAATTGGTTAAGCAATCCCATACGAGGAAATGAAATGAGTTTTATTTTACTAAGTTTGTTTAGTGCTGGTAAAAGACGACAAATGTTTTACACTCATAATTTATCTCATGGCTGTCGTGATTTGTGATCACATACTGTTCTGGTAAATCCTGGTATATATTCAATAAAATGTTTATCTCACTCTGGGACACTTACAATATATTTTGCTTCATTTTGTCTGATTATACAATTATTGGACTTTAATAATTGTGACCTTTTGTGTCTAGTATAGCTTAGGGAGTAAGGATCATGATGATCCTCCACTCGAGTTTTCTTAGGGAGAGAGAAAACAAACACACAGGTGCAGAGGCATTCATACCTTCTTCAAGCACATATTATCACACACGTGACACTCGAACAGACCTTATAGGATACAGCTATCCTTTGGAATTTCTAGCTTGTCTTTCATTTTATGTGTATAGAAATTATTTCAAAAGGATCTAGTATGACTCCGTAAATTTCATAGGTAATTTTTTTATTTTTTCAATCTCTGTATTTTGATGACTATCAAGTTACCAAAATAAAAAAGGAATATCGGAACATACAAACCTACAAGTACTTGCATTGAAATGTCAATGCGAATAAAATATATGGGGTTTTAATAGGCGAGGAAAGAAATACTGCCGCCGGACCTGTAAACTAATTTTATCTTTTTTTTCCAACAGAAAACTAACTTTATATTTTATAACTACTAAATAATATTTTTGAATATCTCTTATTATCTTCTACTATTTTAAATTTGTGTCGCTTATATTTTTCATGGCATATTTTTTAATTATATTCGGGCTTTTTTTCTATTTTGCACTGCTAATGTAAATTATTTTACACCGGGTCCCATGTTGTGTCTTTCACACCAAATCACATTATTTTAATTAAATTCAAATATAACATAAAAGTAGAGGAATTGGTTGGGAAGGGTGATTGGAATAAAATGGGGGAAGTGTGAGCTCTGAGGGTTGAGATGGAGGATGATGGTTGGAAAAATGAAGGAGGATTATTTTAATTTATTATGAACTTTTCTATAAGATGAAAATTTTACGACTTGTTTTATTATTATTATTATTTGTTAGAGTACATTTTCATTTTTAAAAATTAAAAAATTTCTTCGGTAACTATTGTATTAAAACTATTTTTATAAATAATATCTATTTTTAATTTGTAAAATTAAAAAAAATGAAAATTGAAAAAAAAATATATTTGATTTTGTTTTGTTTTATGTATGTTTTTATTAAGTCACCTACTTACATTGATAGTAAATTTTTGAAGTTTTTTCTAATTTTTATTGGACTTTTCATTATAATTGGTGTTATCATGTTTAATCTAAATTTGTTTTCAACAAGTTTTGTTTTTAAAATTATTCTAAAAAAAAGCTCTTCAATATTATTTATTAAAATTATTTTTAAAATAAAAAAATAAATTAGATTAAACAACCCTAAAATATATATTTTTATTTTATTAAAAGATAACATTAACGACATAAAAGTAAATTTCATTTTACACTATATTCGTTTACATTCACGACAAATTGATTTTTTTTTAGTAAATACTTTATCTGATTATACTAAAATGTTTTAGATACAGAAATTATCTTAAAGCCTAGTCATAGACAAGATATTACATGTATATTTAAAAAATAGTAAATAGGAAAGAAAGTAATAAAAAAAAATACAAAAGTCAGCTTCAATTTTGGACTGAGCACAGAACCCACCGCCACGGGCCCAATAAAAAGATTGTTCTGTTGCAATTAGTTCGTAGTATTTATTTACTCTATTCCTCTCTCACATTCTGATTCCACCACCCCAACTCAACGAGATTGCGCAGCACCCAAGTTACTTCCACAGCATTCATTCAAACCACCTACAAATATTCTCCTATTCCAAACGCTTCTGAGAGACTCTTCACCATCAGACAATTCAATTAATCATCACCCTCGTCCTCCACACACTTCTCAAGAACCCTAATCCCAATCCAACCAGCTGCGATCAGCGATCAGCGATGCAGCAAGGAGATTACACCTCCGCTTCCTATTATCAATTTCCTCATCTCCAAAACCCCAACCCCAATCCCAACCCCAACCCTAACCCTTCCGATCCCAACCCCAACAACCTGTACGCTTCTGCCCCTCCCTTTACCCCCAATTACGCTCCTTCTGATTACACCAATTATCATCCTTCCTATCCTCAAAATCCTGATCCTATTCCACCCACTGCTCCTCCGTCCTTCCCTCCCTCTTCCTCCAACCCTAATTTCAATTTGCCATTCGAATCAAACCCTTCATACCAACAACCACAACAACAACCCTATTTTCCACCATATGATCAGCATCAAACGCCTCCCACTTACGCCCCTCCCAACCCCAATTCCACTCCCTCCCTATACAACTCTGCTCCCTACAACTACACCGGAGGCTCCTCCGTTCCGCCTATTCAGAACTACGAACCGCCAGCTTACGAGGCTCCAGTGAGGCCCGATCACGGCGGTGGCTATTTCGACGACAGATACGGAGGCAACTTCAATCGGAGCCATTCGGATTTGGGATCTGATTATTACGGAAAGAGCGGTGGTAATTCGAGGTATGAAGGTGGCGGCGGCAGTGATGATGGCTACGGAGATGGGGTGTATGCTTATCAGGGAGGTAAAGTGGAACCCTATGGGGCGCGTGGCACGGCGCCGAAATCTTCGACTTGGGCAGCGTTTGATGATTATGGAAGGACCATCAGTTTCCCCTCGCAAAAGGAATCTTCTTTTGGGGGTAAGATTGTGAAAGCGGTGCCCAAGATTGATACCCATGAAGACGTGAAAGGTGGTGGCGTGCAAAAATTTCGGGTCAAACTATTGGCGGAAAGTGGGGGTCAGGTCACCATGGATGTTCTCTGTCAGGTATGAAGAGAATTGCAGCTAGAGCCATATGTTATGGTAGTAATAATTTCAGTCCAAATGGGTTTGCTGATATATACTTAGCATAGAAGATTACACTCCTTTTCTTTTGAATATGATACCCTCTCTCTTTCTCTCTCAGTCTAGATTCTTCTTTGTTCTTTCATTGTATGGGCCAACAAAGCAATAAATCTTTGTCATGCCTATGTGTTCATAATACTCTGCTCTTGTTTTTACTAACTGTTACTGCAATTGTTGTTAGAGACTTTGGCTTACATAGAAAATTCCTGATTTCGTTTCTTTCTAAAAGATGATAGTCCAGTTATCTTATTGCTGCTGATCTGAACTCTGTTAACCTTTGTTTGCTCAGATTGGTCTGGATGGAATTCGTATGTTGGATCCAAATACCAGCCGGACATTGAGGATTTATCCTCTTGAGAATATAACAAGATGTGACGTGAGCTTCTTTATTTGTTGACAAAACTTCACTACATCCATGAAACTAGTTTTACTGGTAAATTTCATTATAATATTTGCTGATTGTATCATGCAGAGAGTCGATTCATCTACCTTTGCATTTTGGTCAAAGAGCCCTGTGGATATTGAGCCAAGACGAATCAGATTGCAATCTAATAGTTACACCACCAACACACTTTTGGATACAGTGACTGCTGCAACTATACAGGTATTCAAACATTTCAACTTTTTCTTATAACAATTGGTCGTGTTTTTTATATGATAAATTAGGCTAAATCATGTTTACTTTTTAAAAATTTGTGGGAAGACACTGGTTCTTTTATTGAAAGGTTAATTGGAGTTCTAATTTTGCTTTTGTTTTGATTTAAAATTGCTTGCCTAGTGTGAATTACCATGTGAGTTACAACAAGACCAGTGGTCTATAAATAAAGGAAAACAGAGAGCAAGTCGAATTATATCTGTTCTACTGTACTGGTGTCAGAAAAATGACGGTAAAAGTTGGGCTAATATGTGAAAGATAGATGAACAAGAGTATAAAGATACAGATAGTTCAAGCAATTTCAAAAATGCCTGATTCTCTCCCTTCCTAAACCTTAGTTTATCATACTTTTCATCCCTGAATTAGTATTTGATAATGCGGATAACATAGCAGTGAGAAAAGACTGATTTATATTGAGTGAAACGATGCAGAAGCCTCCTTATTGTCTACACTATTTACAAGCAGTGTCTGGTTTTACAACTTATGACCGAAATCCACTTGTATTGCAGGCTCATACTCTCTCTTTCTAACATAATAGGTATTTACAAATGTTTGCCTCCTAAAGTTCCACCTTGTCTCAAGGTTAACAGATTGTAGAGCAGAAATAAAATCCACACCTTGGTCCCGCTGTTAAGCAACATTGTTACTGAGATAATCCCCACTATTTCAGCATGAAAATAGCCTCCAGCCTCACCGGCCAAACCCAACCGGGCATCCATTCTTTGCCAATGCTTTTCTCTTCCTGTTATTTTTAGCCATGTAATAGAGCTTTGTTGCCCCTGCTAGTGTACTTGGAGTCTCGTGTATATGGTTTTGAGTTAATCAAATGTTCAGCTTTTCTTTTAGCCAACTGTTCGTTTGCCATCTCCTTAAATATTCCTTTTCTTACCTTTTTTTTTGTTGTTTTACCTGGAAGATTGGGGATTAGGAGATGATAGCTGAAGGGAAAGACAGAGACTGAAAATAGAGCATGATATAATGATTTTGCTTGTTGACTCTGGCAAAAAAAAATTTCACCTTATGATATCATGAATTATAGTTGTATTAATTCTGACAACTAGAAATTGAATACGAGAATCACAACAAAATATGGAATATAATGCTTAATATACTGTTGTCACAACTCCTTCTTTGTCAACTCTATAGAGCTCTGACACACCGTGTTTCACTCTTTTTGTTCACATCTTGGCACACCAGCCAACTGATGTCCTTCCTTCTTGCACTTCGTTTTTATTTCCTTTGGACCCCTTGACTTTTTGTTTCATTAATAGCAATTATGAATATATTTTTTTTCTTGTGGACTTTTTTTGGCATTTATTATCTCTGAGGCACCGATATGTTGGTCAGACCAATGTATCCGTATTGCAGACTTATCCTATACGGATACAACCCAATACTACAAAGATTCGTATTGATAAAGAATCTGAAAAAAAAATTCAGACAAAAATAAAAACATAATGAAGAATATGCTTCTGTTCTTGTTTTTGTTGAATCAATAAAAACATATTCAATATGTTTTTGCTAAATCCAAAATCGATAACAAAGTTGTAACATATTTATATTATTTAAAGAACCTTTAGTATGAGTTTCATTACTCTCCTCTCCTTATGGCTATTTTCGTTCGGGTTCTATTTCCCCTTTTCACTCTCGAAAGTTTGTTGGTTTCTCACGTTGTTGCTGCACTGCTTGGGGTTGGTGACTGTGTTCTTGAGTGGGTGGGTCACAATTCCATTGCGCCTGACTGATTTCTACTCTTTTGTTCCCTTTTTGGTGGTTTCCTCCTCCGTGATTATTTAGCTCTCTGTTTCTTTGTGCAATGATTCATTCTCTTTTTTGTTGTTTCCCCTCTATCACTCTTTCTTTGTGCAGTATAAGTAGGTAGTTATAAATTTTAGTTAAATATTTTTTGGATTCCAAAGTATATAATATATTATTAATAACAAATGTTATGTTTTAGATTAATTATTTAACATTTATTTAAAGTTTTATTTTTTAATTAAATAATTTTTTATTAATAATTTAAATTAACATAATTTGTATTTTTTATATACTAATATGTTTATTATTTTTGAATAAATTTATATTTTTATTAAATAAATATCATAAATGATTACAATATACATAATCATTTAAATTTATGTAAAATTTATAAATTAAATATTTAATTAAAATAAACAAATTCATGATAAGATGAAATATAAATTTTAGTTATGAAAAATATTATTTATAATTACTTTATTTTTTTAAAATTATACCAAGATAAATTATTATTTTTTATTTTATGTTATTTATTCTTTATAAATTTAATTTAACTCAATGATTTAATTACATCTTATTTTTAATATATATCAAATTTTATTTTAATTTTTAATTAGTTAAATTATTAGAAATCATTATTAAATTAAAATATTATTATTATTATTTATTTTAATCTACTATTTTGTTATTTATTATTAATTTTTTCTCTTGGACTTTTTTTTCTTATTTTTTTTTTCATATTTTTGTTGTAGTGAATTTTATTCAAAATGTCAGCACCAATACCAAATTCTTCTAATTCCAACTCAAACATTCCAAGTAAATTCTTTTCAAAAGATCATCAACATGATGATCATGCTCCTCTATGTCAATGATGAATATTTAATTGAATTTTAAAATCAATTGTTGAATTGGTTGAAAATAGATTAAAACCTAAGCATGTTCCCTTTCCAACTGAGGATAGACATGAGAATAATTCCTTAAAAAGGAGAAAAAGGGTCCTCTGAAGAAGTTATTTAACTTAGAAGATAGAGACACCCACAAAACTCTTATAGTTAGAATGTTTTATTCTTTTGGGTTGTTTTTTAATCTTGCAAAAAACCCTTATTATGTGAATTAATATTTATTTGTTGCAAATCATAATCTTAGTGGTTTTCTTCCGCCTGGATACAAGGCTTTGAGGACAACACTCTTATAACAAGAGAAAACACATGTTGAGAGGTTATTGAAATCAATTAAATTAACCTGAAACAAAAAAGGGGTTAGCATAGTCTCTGATGGATGGACAAATTCCCAAAAAAGACTCTAATTAATTTTATGGCCACTATTGTGCGATTCCTAAATTTTTAAAAGTTGTTTATGATTATGATGAAATAAGAAATAAGCATTACATAGATGATAGAATGATTGAAGTTATTAAAGAAGTATGGGAGAAAATGTTGTATAAATTATGACAGATAATGCTCCTATGTACAAAGGTGTTGTTGGAATTATTTTTGAAGGTTCATTTCCTAGAGTTTTGTGGACACCTTGTGTTGTGCTCACATTGAATCTTGCTTTGAAGAACATATGTGCAGCAAAATATACAGAAAGAAATTATGTTTTTTATAGTGAATGCAGTTGGATTTTTTAAGTTGTTGATGATGTTTCTTTCATTAGGAACCACTCCATGAGATTGACCATTTTTAATCATTCTCACAATTGAAATTGCTTGCTGTTGCGGATACACTTTTTGCATCTCTTATAGTAATGATGAAAAAATTTAAATTTTTGAAACATTTTTTGCAATGCATGATTATTAGTGAAGAATGGAATTCCTATAGAGAAGATGATGTGGGCAAGGCTCAAGCTATAAAACACTTTGTTTTAAATGATATATTGTGGGACAAAATTGCATACATATTAGCTTTCAATGAGCCTATATATAACATACTCAGAGTTTATGATACAAATAGTTTCACATTTTATTTGGTCTATGAGATGTGGGATACTATGATAGAAAAGGTGAAGACAATCATTTATAGGCAAGAAGAGAAAGAGGAAAATAATACATTAATATTTATAAAATTGTTTATGGTATACTAATTGATAGGTGGATTAAAAGTTGCATTCCTCCTCATTTCATGGCTCACTCTTTTAATCCCAGGTAAAGTGATCCTATTAATACTCATTTTTTTATAATTTATGTATAAAAGTATTTAGAAAGCTTTTATAATATAATTTCTTTTATAATTTTTAATTATAGATATTACAACAAAGAATGGATTCAAGAGGCTTCAAATAGAATCCCATCACATGAGGATGAAGAGATTTTTAGGTAGAGGAATAATAGTTTGAAAAAACTTCTTATACAACTAGTGAGGATAGGAGAAATGTTCTCATCCAAGTTAAATAGTTTTGCTTCTTTTGACTTAATAGAAGATACGTGGACATTAGATTTCCAAATCTTGGTGGGTGATGCATCGTTGGTGCCCCTCTCCTTCAAAATCTAGTATTGAAGCTTCTTGTACAATTTTGTCCGTCATCTTGTTGTGAAAGAAATTGGAGTACTTATTCATTCATTAAAAAAAAAAAGTTGAGTCCTAAAAGAGTAGAAGTCTATGTTTATGTGCATACTAATTTACAACTTATACTAGGAAAAGTGAAGAATATAACCAAGGGAACTCTAAAATGTGGGAATTAATGGAGATGCATAGAGGGACAAAATTATCTCTTGATGAACCAGACATGGAAGTTATTTTATTGACTGATGATGCTTAAGGAGGAGATGAAATTGATATTATTCTTATTTCTAAACAAAAAGTAGTTATAGTTAACTTTTATTTTACATTTTTATTTTTAATATATTTAATATGTTCAATTTAAATAACATTTGATAATTATATACAATAATACTTTTTTATGAATTATACACACACACACACACACGTATCATAAACCTATCTTATCTTTTTTAATATAAGACGAATTGGTGTATTGTATCCGATATTCGTATCGTATCTGTGCATCGTAGTTTATTATAAATAATATAATTTACTTCTAGAAATTTCATAGTTGTGGTCATCTGCTATCTCACTACAGCAGTTTGAGTCAGCTGCCCCATGTTGCTATCTGTGATTTTGGTCATTGTCACTTAATTTATTTTTTTAATTCTATTAGGTTTCTTGTCAAATAGCTAGTTGGCTTACTTTTTCTTTGGTTTTTGGCTACTTGTCAACAACTAGTTTGTTTTAAATATGGGGAACTGTTCATTATTTATGTCTTAAGTTCCCTTATTTTCTTTTTCATAATGCAGTTCAAGGAAATGGGTGGAAGCAGGAGGCCTGCAGAACCGGTGAAAACAAATGACCAGCCTCAAGAAAGAAAGAAAGGTTTTGGCGATTGGATGAATCTGATTAAGCCTGCTAATGAAGAGAAGGATCATTGGGTAAACTTTTTGGTTTCTGTATCCTTGTATTCTTTCCTGTTTTGAAAATAGGATTATAAGGTTTTTGAAGAAATGTTTACCTTTAGACCATTTTCATTTTTCCTAGGATGCAATTTTCTGTTGGTGGAGGATTGTAATTGTTTGACCATGTTTTGTTGCTTCAATTGGTATTTTTGGGGACTTAATTTTCAAATCTTAGTTTTATCCACTCCTTTAAAGTTTTGAACTATTGAAAATTTCATAATGTGACTTGATTTTGATAAAAATTTAGTGACCAAGATTGTGATCTATGTCAATTTTTTGTTCAAAACTGGAGCTTCTTACTGGGTTTTATTTTTGTGTAGGTGCCAGATGAAGCTGTCACAAAATGTACAGCATGTGGCTCTGATTTTGGGGCTTTTAATCGCAAGGTTGATTTCCTTGTTTTTCTTTCTCAACCATTGTTTTCTGTTTTGTGTACACTGTTGCTAATGGCATGATCCTCTGCGCTTCCAACAGCATCACTGTAGGAACTGTGGTGATATTTTCTGTGACAAATGTACTCAAGGTAGAATTGCTCTTACTGTTGATGAGAATGCACAGCCTGTGCGAGTTTGTGACCGGTGCATGGTATGTGTAATAGTTGTCTTTTTTGGAGATAATGAACATACGGATACTCTGTTGAAATATACTCTTGCTTTGTATCTGCTGACGTTGTGCTATTAAATGGGATATTATCCATACCTCTTCTCTGTTACCCTTGTTTCTCAATTGAATTAGTGTCTGAAAACAGTTAAAACTAAAGATGTGATGTTATTAAGATTCTTATAATTCCATTCCTGTGTAGGCAGAGGTGACTCAGCGACTGACTAGTGCTAAGGAGTCATTAAGTAAACCCGCGTTGCAGAGTCATGAGGATCTTGCCAGGAAACTTCAGGTAAATGATTGGGTTGGGACATCATACCATTTGTTTTTGTGTTGTTATTATTGCAAGTGGAGGGCTATAATTGTGAGTTATTTGGTTAATATTGTTAGTAATGTCTTGGCAGGAGGAGCTGGAGAGAAATCGAAAGACATCAGGTAATGTAATGAATTCACTTTTGGTAGTTTGCATTAGTGAACTGTGAAATGACTGCATAGATTTTTGAATTTTTTTCATTCATAACTTAAAGAAGGCAAGTTTCAAACAATATGTTGTGCGGATAATTTATGTTGAGATTGCTGAATTTTTGGTTGTGGTTATTAAATTTATCTCTTCGGTTCAGTTAAGTGGTCTGGTTTGTAGGTTCCAAGTCTGATGGATCTGCAAGGCGGATGAAGGAAGTCGCATGTCCTATTTGCACTGTCCATCTGCAGGTTTGAATCTAGTGACCCTTGCCCCTCTCTTTTCTCATTTATATACATGATGACATCATTTTATGTGGCGCTTTTTTTGGGTTATTGCAGGTTCAGGTGCCTAGCTCAGGTTCAGAGACCATTGAGTGCGGAGTTTGCCAACACCCATTTCTTGTGAGTGCTCATTGAGTTCAGATAAACATTGATGCGGATGAAGCTGTTTATATGCTTGTCAAGTTTAAAATTTAATTGTGTTACGGTTCAATCTAGTTCACTTAATAATGACTGTTTTAACTAATATCTTTGGGTTTGTTACATGACCTAATTTGATCTGCATCTTTCTATTTTTCCTTTTGTGCTTCAATTCCGTGTGCTTTTAGATTACTTCTCCCTTCAATTTGTTTGTCCCCTTGTATAAAATGGACGCTGAACATAATAATACATGTATAGCTTTGGTGAATTCATTCTGGTTTGTTCGTTGGTTCAGCTGATCATAGTATAATACTGTCTGGCTCGAGATTATAAACTTTTATAGGTCGAAAGGTTAATTCCGTCTACAAAGTTAAGATCAGTCTACCTGATGTTTTGTAATGTGTAGCCGAATTTTTGTTTTTCCTTGTTCTCTCTATCTTTTATATCTCTGACTAAGTAGAATTACAAAACTTAAATAGAACAATTGGGGGGTGATAATTAAAATTTTTTTCCTTGGCTGTAAATCTATACTGTCAAAAACATTCAAGGCAGCTTAGATCAGGGCTATGCAAATTACGCAGCTCCTTTTTATTCGATGCAATGCCTTTTTCTTAGTATTTTTAAGCATAAATCGACTTTTGCAAAGAAATTATATTTTAATACATTATAACATTTTTTAAAAGTAGCTTTGTAGTTAGAAAGTTTACCTATTGTAATGTAAAAGAATTATATAATGAAAAATTGTTTTTCTATTGTATCAGAAATATAAATTGATTTTTTCATAATACGTAAAATAATTTAAGGGATGCGAAAGTAGGGGGAAAGAAGAATATTTTGCGAAGTCAGAAAACCAAAATTAGTTGATGGATGTAAATAACATTGGTCTTTTGTTTACTTTCTTTGTGTGGGTTGAAGTATTTGCTTAGTGGGCTACTATTAAGACCTTCCATTTTTTTCTTTTTCACAATCATGTTTCTTTAAAAATGAAATTGGATTCTGAGTTCACCATGAAGAATCTGTTACTAAATTTGTAGAAGATTCCATTAGAATGATTGATTGAATTAGATTTAATCAAATAAAAAATATCAATCTAGTTTATTTGCATTATTGATTATTTAACTCAATTAACATTTTTAATTATTATTAAATATTTTTATAATTGGATAGATTATTGTATCAATCAACATTGAATTAATGATTAAATGTAGTAGAACGGGATTAAATTTATATTCATCAAACTAATGAAATACATTGATTGTGATTGTATCAGTTATCTTTAGTTTTTAAAATATTTTCAACTCTTTTAAAGTAATAATATTTTACTTATTTTAATTAATTTAACTAAAATAAGTATTTTTTTCACCTAAAATTTTTAAAATTACTTAGAGATATAAAATAAAATTAAGTGAGAATACAAATTCTAAAATATAATAAGGTTAGAATTGATATTTATTTAATTATATTTAATTATCGATAATTTTCAGTTAAATAGGCTGGGTCAAACTCAAAAATTTAAGAAATAAATGAGATAAAAAAAATTGTGATTATATTTTATCCTATTCGTTTAGTTTAGTTCTATTTTGGTTTGATCATTTTTAGAATAATAATAATTTTTAAATAAAAATAATATTATTTTATTATATATATATATATATATATATATATATTATAAATTAATTTAATTATTTTAAGCAAGACCGAATTAGATTACCTATTTTCAAAACTTTATATTTAACAATAATAATATTTTCTTTAATTTTTTATTTTTAATCTTAAATCACTTAAAAAATAATATTAACTTTTATGAAAACATTTAAAAAAATATCTGAAAATAAAAATAAGATGTTATAAAAGTTTCACAAACAAAATCTAAAATCAAATCTTAAATATTTATCTTATATAATAGTCATATGTAATAGAAAATAAATCTTCTATTCCATCTTTTTAAAGTTTTACCATTTGTTTAATCATGTTATTTTTATACGAGTCAATTATATTTAATAAAAAAGTATTTATAAAATTAATAAATTTTAAATATAACCTAATAAAAATAAATAATCTTAAGGTATTTTAGGGATGCAAATAATAAAATAATAATAAGTAAAAAAAATTAGTAAAAAAATATAAATAATTTCGTAATGTTTATTTTTTTACAATATATTCAATATGTATTGACTATGAAATAAAATTTACAAAATAGTAAATTATTAAAATTTAAAGATCTAGATTTAAGTTTATTGTTATTTATAGATATTAATTAACCAATAAACATTGCTTTATAATTTATTTTATATTAAGTTTGAATTATGATTATTGTTATGTGTATTATTTTTATGTTTGTATTAGTGTCTTTTTAGAGGTTGATGAAGATATAATTAATTATTATTAGATCATACATTTTTATAAATTTATTTTTAATTATAAAATTGTAAATATTTTAAAATTTAATTATACATATAAATAACCTGTCAAATCAATTTTTTTCCACCTATTCAAGTATAATTAAGATGATAGCAGAGGTTGAATTTAATCTCATTGAAATTGAATATTTAATTTAAATTTAATATTGTTTTTATAATGTGCTAATTCTCTTTACCTTTTTTTTTAAATAAATTTTTTATCCAAAAAAATTATATTTTCACCTAATCAACCATGTAATAAAATATGTTATTAATATTTATGATATACATTTAATTATATTAAAAATATATTTAATTATATTATACAATTAATTACATTTTTAATATAATTTGTAACTATTTATTATAATATAAATAAAGATAATTAATAAATTATATATATATATATATATCAATTTAAATAATTTAATTTTTCATTTCTTTTTACATTTTATATATATATATATATATATATTTTTTTTTTTTTTTTTCTTCCCTTCGTTTGTTCCTATCTCATCGATAAACCCGAAGAAAACATAGAAATCTGTGTCAATGTCATGCATCATGTCTTAAGTATAGGTCACCATCTATGCGATTAAAATTTTAAATTTCTTAAAATGTGCCCGACTTGAATAGGAACCCACAGTGTCCATGGAATAAATCCATCTTTATTAACTATTCATCTTTACACGTTGAACAAGTTTTTGTTTTTTCATTTATCAAATGTTCATGTACCAGTCATTCTTCCATCTACATTTACTCCTTTCATATGTGAAGTTGTTTTTGTAAAACTCGTGAGTTCAATTTCTTTTTTTCCTTGACCTTTTACCCGTGCATTCTAATACTTTGTTCAACAACACACCGCACATGATTTAATCTGTTTAATGAACACAAAATCTTGAACAAAGACATGAAATTACCAAGTTTAATGGTTATGATCCATTAATGTACAAACTTATACATAATGAGTTAATTAAATTTGGAAGAAGGTTTCGTAGAGGCCATTCCTCTTCATTTATGTAAGAAAAGTAGAAAGAAACATATCATAAATAAATAACCCCGATTGTTAGAAGTTAGATGAATTTATTTTGTGCATGTGACCTTGAAACTAAAATGGACAGAATTGTGTGAAAATAATTATATTGTGTCCGGCACTGACTTATTTAAATGCTGCTGGAGCGAGTGAAAAGTACCACCATCGCCATGGCTTCTTCTTGGGTAATTCCTTCTTCAACAACTATGTTCTCCATCATTATATTGTTGACCTTGGCATGTTGCAGAGCCAAGATGCAGAATGTTTCTTTTCCTGCAATTTTGGTCTTTGGAGATTCTATAATGGACACTGGCAACAACAACTATAACAAACTTACATCTGCCAAGTGCGATTTTGCTCCCTATGGCAGAGATTTCGAAGGAGGCATTCCAACTGGTAGATTCAGTAATGGAAAGGTTCCTTCGGACATCATAGGTACACTCTCCTTTTTTTATCTCTTTTCATTTCAATGTAAAAACTGTTGAAAATGCCATGCATGTTTGGTATTTTAATATTTCAAACTCTCCTTCAATCATGCTTAATACCATCACACATATAAACTATATTGTTATAGATAAGATATAGAAGGATATAGAAGGGAAGATTGTAAGATAAGATAATGGAAGTGATGAATAGAGACAAAGAAAATATTGTTTTAAAAATGTTATATTATATATTGTAACGTGAGTTGTTATTCTTACATGCATGTTTGGATCAGCTGAAGAATTAGGCATTAAGGATCTTGTACCAGCATATTTGGATCCAAATCTCCAACCTAAAGATCTTCTCACTGGTGTTTGTTTTGCGTCTGGTGGTTCAGGCTACGATCCACTCACGTCTAGCATTGTGGTAGGAACACTTTCAGTTTCATTGTTCTCCTTCAGCTCCTAAATTTGGTTAATAACAAAAAACAATTCATTTGTTTCTTCTATTCTAACTTTATTACTGTAAATGGCAGACAACTATATCATTGTCTGGTCAATTAGAGATGTTCAAAGAGTACATAAGAAAGGTTAAAGGACTTGTTGGGGAGGACAGAACAAAGTTCATCCTAGCCAACAGTATTTTTCTTGTGGTGGAAGGCAGCAATGACATTTCCAACACTTATTTTTTGACTCATGCTAGACAAATGCAATATGATATTCCTACTTACACTGACCTAATGGTTAGTTCAGCTTCTGATTTCTTAAAGGTATGCACAGTTGTGTTGTGTATAAATTCATTCAATAGAACACTCTTTCAATATCATTTTGATTAATGATCTCACACGATGCAATTGAAAGGAAATATATCAACTAGGTGCTCGGAGGGTAGGAGTATTTAGTGCTCCACCAATTGGGTGTGTGCCATTTCAGAGAACAATATGGGGAGGAATGGAAAGAAAATGTGTAGAAGTGTATAACGACGCTGCCAAGTTATTCAACTTCAAACTGGCAAAAGAGTTGGATTCCCTTAACAAGAACTTGCCCAATGCCAGGATGGTTTACCTTGATGTTTACAACCCTCTCCTTGATGTCATTGTAAATTACCAAAATTATGGTAATCTCAACTTTCACTCTTTATAC